GTCGACGACGCTGACCTCCTGCGCGAGAGCGTCGACGCGATCGACCTTTGGCTGAGCGGATGTCTGCCTGCGGCCGACGCGCAGGGGAGTCGAGTCTGCCTTTGGCTCCTCGCGCAGATCCCACCGCGTCTGGCGAACTGTGTTCGGTACCTTTTCCTCCCGCCACCGAGCGAGGGGAGCTGGGAGGCCTGGCTTGACGAGGACTTTTCCCGAAAGCCCGGCTTCCTCCTGGAAAGCGAAGAAAGTGAAAACGAAGCGGAGAAGCGTCCGCGGGCGGAAGACGAGGCAGGGGCTGACGTAGCACCGGGCTCTCACCTCGCGGCGAAGGTTGCCCACCGTTTTGTAATGCAGGCGATGCATTACTACACCACACATCTGCCCATGCGTGCTTCGGTGGTCTGCAAAGACAGACGGATGCTTTTAAAAAGGGTTTACCAGCTACTGCCGGCGTTGGTGGCCGCTGTTGGAGGGGACGCCTCAAAGCTAAACGCGGTCCACTACGCAGGAGTGTGGGGACGCTTTAAGGAGATCGCCAACCGACATAGCGGGAATATCTCCGGGGAGAGTCGACAAGATCTTATCGGTCCCTCTTCTGTCGGCGCTCCTGATCGGATTGATCCACTTGTGCGAGCCCTCAAGCGTATCAGTTATTCCGCGGTTTTATTGGCCTTCGCGGCGTTTTACTGCGGTGCCGTTCCAAAGTCCAAACAAATCCAGGTGTTCAGCAAGGAGGTTGGGATATGGCATCTGAACCGTAAACCCTCCGCGGAGGCGAACGCCCAATCGCACAAGGCGTCCACGCTTTCTGCTTCCGCACACGTCATCAACGTTCAGCAGCTTCTGCTTATTTATAAAGCCATGCGAGATATGTGTAAGCAGCATCTAGATAGCATGGAGCTGACATCGGCGGAGATGGCTGCGCACTACATACATGGCTTGGTTGCCTGGGGGCTTTTAACGCCGACAGTTTCACAAAGGAAAAAGAAGTTTCACTGCTGGATCTCGATTAGCACAGCCCTACAGCTAGGAAATACTTTGTCTTTGAACCTTTTTGAGCTTATACCGACCTAAAATACCCTGGTTCATGCAAATCATTGTTGAACAAAACATGTGTTTTCTCTTCCTGCATAGACATGATTTCGTAAGGGATAGATTCTAATTAAATGCGTGACTCGTATTTTTTCCTATACTTCTCCATTTTTATTAACGCATTTATCATTTTACTATTATACCACTATCTTCTGTATACTACAAAGTGGGAGGTCCACGGAAGGCTATCTTCTCCTTTACATTTCATAGTTCTAAAAGCGTGGGTACTCTCAAGTTACCTAAGTAGTATTATACCTTACTCACTTCACCTTTAGTTTGCATTTTTTTTTCAATTTAATTTCGATTCGAATGCTTAGAGCAATGCCGTTTTCACCTAATGTAACTTCACAGAATCGACGTAAAATGTACTATTGGGTAGGAACGTTTATCTGTATTGTGGGGTTTCTGTTATTTGTCCTCCTTATCCATGAGTATATTTCTGGGGATACTCGCTTTATCCCATCATTTGTCGGGGGCTATTGCGCACTGTTCGCAACTCTGATGTCATTTTTCTTGATATTGGAGCACTTGACATGCTTCTCGGATCCAGAATGTCAGCCGAAAGTTGTGCGTATCCTCTTTATAGTGCCGTTGTACGCTTTGATCAGTTGGATTTCACTCCTAGCCCCGGGCGCGGCGAAGTATCTCAACCTGATTCGGGATGCCTACGAAAGCTACGTTATTTACGCCTTCTTCCAACTTATGATCGCGCAAATGGGCGGTATCGATACGCTTTACCGAGCGTTGATGATTGAGGAGCGTCCGCCGATTCCCCAGGTCTTCCCGTTTTGCAATTTGGAGCCCATTAAGGTAACCCCGACGTTTGTGCAAAACTGTCGGCTTTGCCTCTTTCAGTTTATGATTATCAAGCCGCTAGTCACGATTATGGTCGTCGTCCTCACGGCAAAAAACAAGATGGGGAACCTCACCGACGTCACTAAGGGCTACTTCTGGACAAGCTTAGTTTACAATATATCCATTTCGATCGCTTTCATGGCGCTTCTTTACTTCTACAAAGGCCTCAAGGAGTTCATGGAAGGCAATAATATTCTAATGAAATTTTTGTGTATAAAATCCGTTGTCTTTTTGACTTTTTGGCAAGGCATGCTTTTCGCAATCTTAGCGGCAACCAACCTGTTACCAACCTTTTCCTACTGGTCGCGGGAGGAAACACCAACTGCACTTCAGGACTTGCTGATTTGTATCGAGATGATGTTTGTTTCTTTCACGCATAAATACTGTTTTGGTAGTGATGAATATATGTTAAATAACTTCGTAAACTCTGCCAATGATGAGGATCAGCTTTATGACGGCATGCAATTTCGAGCAACCCCCGCCATCCGTCAATCTGTGAAGGAAAATTTAAAATATACGCTAAAGCAAAAGGACATCTGGTCGGATATGAAAGACATTGTAAGGAACCGATAAACCTATATATATTTTTATAGGGTTTCACTTTGTTCGTACCAAAGTGTTTCAAGTCGGGTGCGTATTATTTTATTTTATCGTGAAGACTTAGAATAGGCGAACTTAAAAGGGGTGAGCGGGAGTTTCTGTTCAGAAATCACTTTATCAATATGATTTTTTTTTTCATCTTTTAAACAAAAACTGATGACCTAAAATCAGAGGAATGTTACTTTTCTATTAGCTTCACCGTAAACTTTCCAACTCTCTTTATCCGTACTTTATTCATGCATGGGATAACACACCATGGCAGGCGTTCTCGATAAAATAGGTATAAAAAAGTGATTATGTCTAGCAAAAAGAAGAAGAATGTAGTGGCGGATCCAAATATTGATTCAAAAAAACAAATATTAGAATCTCTTAAGCAACAGTGCTACGCGGCAGAACGGATTTTATCTATAAGCACGGGTCAACAAAAAAGACTAGATGTTGACATCGATAATCTTCAGCGGCAAGTCGCACTTTCTCAACAAAAAAACGAAGAAATTGATAAAACTCTGGATGACGACGTAGCGTATATGCAAAAAATGTACACAACCAATGAGGATATACTTAAGCAGCGGTATGAGAAACTTGTTCAAAACGCTGAGGATGAGGAAAAGGAAAATCGCGATCTGAGAGAAAAGCTAGAGGAAATCAAAAGACGGAAAGAGGAAGAACTCCGCTACAGGGAAGCTGACATCGAGGAGCAGAAACGCCTTATTGATCAACAAGTTCTCCTGTTTGGTATGAAACTCAAGGAAGTCCTTGAGCGAATGCAATAGAGACGTTACTAATTATACAATAATGTCCAATGAAACAGATAAAAATTGAACATATTTGGTATATTATGCATGTAAATATATGCGCTCCGAACCTCTCTCGGTTCTTGACTTTACTGCTTCTGATAGACGGTGCTGCTATCACTCTGGATAGATATACTGGGTTTGGTGTTTCTCTCTTCTCCAAAATTCAATCCTCCAGTTATGACTTTTTGAACCTTTTTAAACTTAAAAGACTTAAATTTGTTATCGAGATTCATAAAGACCACATATTGAATACAGACTAAATAAATACTGCTCGATTTTTTATAGATAATCGAAAAAATGTCCACCACGTTTACGGCTGAACAATTAGCCCACTTCAACGGGGAAGGTGACACTCCCATTTACATTTCCCTCAAAGGCATAATCTACGATTGCTCCACTGGAGAAATCTTTTATGGTGAGAATAAACCCTATCATTCTTTTGCTGGGAAGGAGATTACACGTTGCCTTGCTAAGATGCTAGTCAGCAGTACTGAGGCGAACAGTGGGTGGAGCAATCTGTCAGAAAAACATATCTTGACACTAAATACGTGGGTGGAAAAGTACGAATCTAAGTATCCCATTGTTGGAACATTTCAACCAGATCCAGACTTCGAGAGTCGTGGAAAGAAATTTGATCCTTGAAAATCAGTGCTTAAGTAAATGTTATCGTATATCTTTAGGTGAAGATTCATATTGTGCCTAAAGTACCTATGGATTTCTTTTATTATTTTTTTTAAATTATTGTATGTTTTATTATTGTTGTTTTGCATTGTAATGCATATTCTTTATTCAGCCATAATGTTTTTATCCAACTAATAAATTTACAACATCTGTATTAATATTAACAACAATACTACTAATAAATGAATTGCAATCGGCATTTCGTGTTACAATATGGGATTGCTATGATCACCTCTTTCTTCTGGTGTGTTCTCCATGGTGACAAGTGCTATGGAGGACCCCCCCCCCTCACCCCTATTGCCTTTGACTACCCTTAGAACTGTTACATCGGTCGTACAATCCATCCCATGGCAGAGGTGGTGGAGGATCGCTCCATTGAGTTCCTTCTCCTTCATCGCAAGGACGCACCCTTGCCAAACCTGGACTCCCTGCGGAACGTCCCACTCACGCAGTGTCACTGGCGCGACGCATTCCAGAACACCCAGGATCCATTGTGGCGGGACGTCTGGGAGCTGAAGACTGCCCTGAGCGAAGTTTCGGACGATACCTACCTGTCCATTCGTAATCGGCTCTTTCCTCTGGCAGTTGGGGGGCCGTTGGCGAGCACCGCCTTCTCCAATCGCGCGGGGCATAAACTGTTGGAGTGTATGGAGGCGGCGGGGGTTTGGCTGTACCTGCACGGGCTTCTTCGGTCCCGGGGCACCGCCTCTCTACAGGAAAAGCGGAAAAGAGATGAAAATAGAAAGCAGCGCGGCCCTGGAAGGTCGCTGGTCTTCGCGGACGTCTGCGGGGGGCCCGGGGCCTTCTCTCAGGCCCTCCTCCACGCCGGCCCTAGCCGCGGCTTCCCGCGAATTCGCGGCTTCGGCATGACCTTGGCGGGTGTTGAGGGCCTTGATTGGTACCCCGCCCTCCTCCGCGCCGACTTCACGCCGACCTACGGCCTCGACGGAACCGGCGACATCTACAAACTAGCTAATATTTACGCACTGGCCTCGATCTCGACCGGGACGCTGCTCTGCATCGCCGATGGTGGGTTTCACGTTGACTTCTCCATCGCAAACTATCAAGAGCCGATCTCCGCACGCATTGTGTATGCGCAGTGGTTTGCGGCCCTCAAGATCCTCCAGAAGGGCGGTTGCCTAGTGCTGAAGCTTTTCGACGCCACTTTGGCGTTCACAAGGTCGTTATTGTTTCTTTCAACTTTTTTATATGACACGGTGCATATCGTGAAGCCCAAGCACAGTCGTGTCGTCAACAGCGAACGATATTTAGTCTGCATTGATTACAAAGGGACCGAGGATAAAAATGGTTGGATGGCATACTTTAAATATATATTGGAGTGTGGATTTTCAGATAATGATCATATACCAGAGTTGCTTCCCGAAGTCTGGATGACATCGGATCCATGCTTTATGCAGAGTATCACAGAGATGGTTAAGATCATTTCTAGTAATCAAAAAATGGGACTGAAAATGATTCTAGACGAGTTCAAAAATGGTATGTCAAGAGCTGAGGAAAGCACGACAACACCTGATAAAGAGGTAGAAAAGGATGACTAAAAATTCCTTTGGGGTAAGAAAAAGACAGCGATTTTATTTTCCCCCGCGCCAAGATCCTCTATTTGGTTTCTGTTGTTTGTATTTTGAAACAAATTTATCCTAATAAAATTAAAAGGGAAAAAAAAGTGTGACCTCTATGCTTTTCGCGATGATATCCATCTATTTTGGTGACATGTCTCAGACCCGATCGACACCATAGTGGGTAATTTCCTTTTGTTTCTCTCTACAACTGCTTTCATTCGATTATTGTCGCAACGTGGGCTCACTCCCCACCCCTCTAGGTAAGATACAATTCTTTATTACCTTTTTGATCAACAACCCCCCTAATTAATTACCCCCAACTCCCAGAGCCTGGCAACGTCATGTCGAAGCTAACCCTTGCGCCACACTCGATCCTTCCCCGCCGCACGACGCTGATTGTCGTGATGGACGGCCTTGGCATCGGCCCCGGCGACGCCTACGACGCCGTCCACCTCGCCAAGACGCCCTTTATGGACGCCCTCCGGGAGAATCGAACGCGGTTTCGCTCGATTCGCGCGCACGGGACGGCGGTGGGCCTCCCGACCGATGCGGACATGGGAAATAGCGAGGTCGGGCATAACGCCCTCGGCTCCGGCCGTGTCGTTCAGCAAGGGGCCTCCCTCGTCGACGCCGCCCTCCGCTCCGGCGAGATCTACGCGAGCACGGGCTACCGCTACCTCCACGGCGCCTTCAGCAAGGACCACCACACCCTCCACCTCGTCGGCCTCCTCAGCAACGGCGGCGTGCACTCGCGGGACGATCAGCTCTACCTCTTTATCCGCAAGGCCGTGGAGGACGGGGCCAAACGGATCCGCCTGCACGTCCTGTACGACGGCCGCGACGTCCCCGACGGCAGCTCCGTCGACTTCACGGCGGAACTCGAAAAGGTGCTCGCGGAGCTCCGCGAGAAGGGCTGCGATGCGCAGATAGCGAGCGGGGGCGGCCGGATGTTCGTCACGATGGACCGCTACGACGCGGACTGGTCCATCGTCGAGCGGGGGTGGCGGGCGCACGTCCTGGGCGAGGCCCGCCCCTTCCGCTCGGCCAAGGAGGCCATCACCACCTTCCGCGAGGAGGATGCGAAGATGACGGATCAGTACTACCCCCCCTTCGTCATCGTCGACGAGAAGCACGCGCCGATCGGGACCATCCAGGATGGCGACGCGGTGCTCTGCTTTAACTTCCGCGGCGACCGCGTGATCGAGCTCTCGCGCGCCTTCGAGGAGG